ACAAGGGATGTGAAGGACCTCTTCAAGGAGAACTACAAACCACTGCTCAAAGAAGTAAGAGAGGATGAAAACAGATGGAAAAACATTCCATGCTCATGGTTAGGAAGAATCAATATTGTGAAAATGTTCATAATGTCAGAAGTAATTTATAGATTCAATGCTATCCCCGTAAAGCTACCAATGACTTTCTTCACAGAATTGGAAAAAACCACCTTAAACTTCATATGGAACGAAAAAAGATCCCGCATAGCCAAGACAATCCTAAACAAAACAAAAACGAAAACAAAAACAAAAGCAAAGCTGGAGGCATCACACTACCTGACTTCAAACTACATTAAAAGGCTACTATAATCAAAACAGCATGGTACTGGTACCAAAACAGAGATCTAGACCAATGGAACAGAACAGAACAGCCCCATCAAAAAGTGGGCAAAGGATATGAACAGACACTTTTCAAAAGAAGACATTTATGCAGCCAACAAACATGAAAAAAAGCTCATCATCACTGGTCATTAGAGAAATGCAAATCAAAACCACAATGAGATATCAACTCACACCAGTTAGAATGGCAATCATTAAAAAATTAGGAGAAAACAGATGCTGGAGAGGATGTAGAGAAATAGGAATACGTTTACACTGTTGGTGGGAGTGTAAATTAATTCAAACATTGTGGAAGACAGTGTGGCAATTCCTCAAGGATCTAGAAATAGAAATACCATTTGACCCAGCAATCCCATTACTGGGTATATACCCAAAGGATTATAAATCATTCTGTTATAAAGATGCATGCACACGTATGTTTATTGTGGCACTGTTCACAATAGCAAAGACTTGGAACCAATCCAAATGCCCATCAATGATAGACTGGATTAAGAATATGTGGCACACATATACCATGGAATACTATGTAGCCATAAAAAAGATGAGTTCCTGTCCTTTGCAGGGACCTGGATGAAACTGGTAACCATCATTCTTAGCAAACTGACACAAGAACAGAAAACCAAACACTGCATGTTCTCACTCATAAGTGGGTGTTGAACAATGAGAACACATGGACACAGGAAGGGAAACATCACACACTAGGGCCTGGGAGGTGGGGGGATAGGGGAAGAATAGCAGGGGGTGGGGTGATTGGGGAGGGATAGCATTAGGAGAAATACCTAATGTAGATGATGGGGCAATGAATGCAGAAAGCCACTACCATGGCACATGTATATCTGTGTTAACAAAGCTGCACAATCTGCACATGTACTCCAGAACTTAAAGTATAATTTAAAAAGTTTTTAAAAACTGCCATTAAAAAAAAAAAGTCTCCCATCAAAGTAAAGCCCAGGACCTGATGGTTTCACTGCTAAATTTTATGAAACATTTAAAGAAGAGCTAATACCAACTCTTCTCAGACGCTTCCAAAAAATTGAATAGGAGAGAATACTTCCAAACTCATTACTCTGACACCAAAACTAGATAAAAACAGAACAAAAAAAGAAAATTACAGGCCAATATCCCTGATGAACATAGATGCAAAAATCCTAAACAAAATACTATCAAACAAAGTTCAAACAAACATTAAAAAAAACACTCACCATGATCAAATGGGACTCATCACAGGTATGAAAATGTGGCCGAACATAAGCAATTAAATAAACATGATACATCATATTTGTCCTTCACAGAATGAAGGACAAAAACATATGATCACAACAATAAATGCAAGACAAGCATTTGACAAAATTCAAGATTCATTCGTGATAAAAAAGAAATCTCAACAAATTAGGTATAGAAGAAAAGTGCTTCAACACAATAAAGATGAAAAACCGACAGCTAACATCATACTCAATGTACATGTTTATTGAATTTTAAAAGTGTTTCCTTTAAATCCGAAATAAAACAAGGATACCCAATCTAATTACTTTTATTCAACATAGCATTAGAAATTCTGGTCAGAGCAATTAGGCAAGAGAAAGAAAAAGACATCCAAATTGGAAAGAAAAATATTAAATTGTCCCTGTTTGCAGACAACATGACCTTACACATATAGAAAACCCTAAAGAAAATCCCAAAGACTTCACGTGCATGTGCGCGTGTGCGCGTGCGCAAACACACACACACACACACACACACACACACACACACTGTTAGATCTATAAACAAATTCATTAAAGTAGCAGGTTACAAAATCAATAACAAAAAAAAATCAATAGGACTTCTATACACACACAGCAAACTATCTGAAAAATATATTTTAAAAACACAATCCTGCTTACAATAGCTATAAAAAAACTTCAGAATAAATTTAATCAAGGAAGTGAAAGATCTCTACACTAAAAATTATAAACATTGAAAAAAATTGAAGAAGGCACAAATAGAAAGATAGGCATGTTCATGGATTGGAAGAATTCATATTGTTAATATGTCCATACTACCCAAAGTGATCTACAGAGTCAATGCAATTCCTATCAAAATACCAATGACATTTTTCACAGAAATAGAAAAAATAATCCCCAAATTAGCATGGAACCACAAAAGACAAATTAGCCAAAGCAAACTTGATCAAAAAAAAATAAATAAAGCTGGAGGCATCACACTACCTAACCTCAAAATATACTGTAAAGCATTGTGATATGGTTTTGCTGTGTCCCCAACCAAATCTCATCTTGAATTGCAGTTCCCATAATCCCCACTTGTCACAGGAGGGACCCTGTGGGAAGTATCTGAATCATTGGGGCAGTTACCCCCATGCTGCTGTTCTCATGATAGTAAGTGAGTTCTCATGAGATCTGATGGTTTTATAAGGGACTTTTCCTCCTTTTGCTCAGCACTTCTCCTTCCTGCCATCGCGTGAAGAAGGACATGTTTGCTTCACCTTCTACCATTATAGTTTCCTGAGGCCTTCCCAGCCATGCAGAACTGTGAGTCAATTAAACCTCGTTCACTTATAAATTACCCATCTCATGCAGTCCTTTATAGCAGTGTGAAACTGGCATAATACACATAGTAACTGAAACAGTATGGTATTGGTATAAAAACAGCCTCACAGACCAATGGAATCTAATCGAGATCCAAGAAATAAATCCATGCCTTTACAGCCAACTGGTTTTTGACAAAGTTACCAAGAACACACAGTGGAGAAAGGACAGTTATTTCGTGCAATGGAGAAAAGACAGTCAATAAATGGTCTTAGGGAAACTGCATATCAACCTACAGAGGAATAAAATTAGACTCTTGCCATACAGGATATGCAAAAATGAATTCAAAATGGATTAAAGACTTAAATGTGACCCTCCAAACTATGAAACTACTAAAAGAAAACATAGGGAAAGCCTATAGTTTGGTTAATTATTTTGGGGAAATGACCCCAAAAGGTCAAACATCAAAAGCAAAAGTAGACAGATGGGATTTCATCAAACTAATAATTTCAGCACAGCAAAGGAAATAAAAAAATGAAGAGACAGCCTATGGAATAGGAGAAAATATTTGCAAGCTATACATCTGATAAAGGGTTAGTTAATATCCAAAATACATAAGGAACCCAAACACCTCAGTAGCAAGAAAACAAACGACCTAATGACAAAATGGGCAGAAAAAACCTCAATAGATAATTCTCAAAGAAGACATATAAATAGCCAACAGGTATATTTTTAAATGTTCAACATCACTAATCATCAGGGCAATGTAAATCTAAACCTCAAATCCCGCTACTGCTTTATCAAACTAAGTTTAGATAATATTCAAAATCTTTGTTGTCATTTCAATAATGTTCATAGCATCTTCACCAGGAATAGATTTCATCTCAGGAAACCATTTTCTTTGTTCATCCATAAAAAGCTACTCCTCATCCATTCAAGTTTGATCATGACATTGTAGCAATTTAGTCACATCTTTAGGCTCCACATTTAATTCTGATTCTCTTGCTACTTTCAGGACCTTTACAATTACTTTCTCCACTGAAGTCCTGACTCCTCAAATTTATCCACAAGTATTGGAATCAAGTTCTCACAAATTTATGTTAATGTTAATCATTGATGTTATATGTGAATTGATGTATGTGAATATGCTTTGAATGTTTTAAGTGTATACTTCGTATTTCAAAAATCTCATGATATACTTTTGATTGATGTACTTATTGAAATTGTACCTGATCCTGTTTGATATTGTGCTGGATAGCCTCTTTCTTTCTCCTTGTATCTACTCTTTACCCTTCTTGCCCTGCTGTGCCTCCCAGTGTTGAGCAGAAGAACCACCCAACATCTATGTATGGCTGATATTTGCTTTAGAGTACAAGATTTGGGCTTTTTGAGCTGATGAAATGTAGTTGAGATTCTGGATCTCATCCACTATGCTCACATGAATTATGCACCCTTGTCCTCTGGTTGTGGGTGAGTTCATTTGGTGAGAGGCACTGGAAGATGGGAGGCTGGGAGGAGAGTGAGGTCAGGGTATTTATCCCTCCTTCTCTCACACTGCAAGACTGAAGGAAGGGCAGTGGCCATACTCCTCTGCCTAGGGTCATAGCACCTGAACTGTCCGAGACCCTTTACCCGTAGATACAACTCTCTCTAGGTGCTACTGGCCATTATTTCTTTTCAAGTCTTGGCTGGTGGAACTGCATCCCCCTATCATGAGACCCTGGTGCCTCCCATTTCTTATTTGTTCTCTTAACCCTGCCCACAACTCCATAAATAGTCTCTTCAAGAAACTCTCTTATCACCCCTTTGAGTGTGTTGTTGTCTGTCTTCTCCTGGATTCTCACTGGAACAGCTATTATGGAATCCCTGACAGCATCAATCTCACAATCTGAATAATTTTTCCCATAAATAAAATTATTCCAGGTTTTCAAAACATTTCTATTTCCAAAGAATTAGAACTGGTTATGACTAATGTAGGGGATTTTACTCCTTTAAAAACAACCAAAATGAAAGGGAGTAGTTTGGGTAATTTTTCCCCCTAGGACACTTCTGCTATAACCAACTCATCACTGAATGATTTGGGTTATGAAATACCTGTCATCGCCATCAGTGATGCACTCGGGGAAGGCGAGGCTACAGCCAAACAGCATGATATGTTGATAGCAACTGAGGCGATGGAGATATGTGAAAAACTTGAGGAACTTCTCCACTTCCATGTTTCTGACAACTGAGAGGAGAGGTGTCAGAGTGGCGTGGTAGGGCAGCATTTGACACTGGCTATGGGTGATGTTCATGCAGGCACCTGGAAAGTGAAGACAATTACATTTAAGAGTGGACACATCAGAAGTATATGTTTGCAAATTCATTTAATTTTTGTTTGTAAGATAAAGCATATTTCATAAGAACAATTTTAGTTATGCAATCATACACATAAGTGCATGTAAGTATGTGTACATATATGATAAAGAAATCAAGCTACAAATATTTACAGAGAAAGAGCATTTGTGTCCTGGGAAAACATGTGGAAAATACATACTCTCCATACATAGCTGGTAGGTATATAAATTGACAATCACCTTTTCTTTTGCATCACAGCTGGGCAGAGCAATATGTATCAAAAAATCTTTTCAACATGTATATTCCTTGGCATTGTCAGGTCATTTCTAGAAATCTATGTAATTATATGCTTAAATTTATCCTAAGGAAATAATCATAGTTGTGAATGTGGATTTATCTACGGGGATATTGATCTCTGTATAGTTTATAATTTTTAAAAGATAGAAATCATCTAAATATTCAGCAAAAAAAATTGTTCTAAAATATATGGAACAAACAACATAATATTTAATTTAGGTACATAAAAAATGCTTCAGAAGACTATTTAATCACATGGAATGATGCTCATAATACAATAAAAAAATAAAAGTAGGAAGTCACAAAACAATTTGTAACAATTATTTTTGTTAAAAACACACAATTATGCAAAGATCAATAGATCAGGAGCAGCTCAGAGCCTCTGACATTATCTTCTTTCATATCTGGCTCTTTTGGGTACCACCACATCCACAGCCTTTCCAACTCCTTCAATCGAGAAATTTGCCTGGTTGACCTGATATAAACAAAAATGTTGGCATGGGTCCATATGATAGAATTTTATGAGATATTTATATTAATATGTAATACACCCATGTATTTGGACCACATTTTTTTATCAGTTTTAATTACATTATTTTATTTAAGGGTTATCAGCTTTTGGACTTACACTCTTGAAGGAAGACCATGTTTGAAGCAATTACATGACTGGAAGGCTCATTCCCTCTACCTAGCCAAAGAAATCATTGAATATTAAGAGAACATTTGAAAAATGCAAGGTAGAAAACATCCTAGAAATTTTCCCATATTAGCATTTGGAGAGCTTCAATTTTTCCTTTACTGCTGCATAATATTCCATTGTATGTTATACTGGGATTTATTTAAACAATCTCCCTTTAATAAATATTTTGACTGTTTTCAAACTTTTGCTATTGTATTGTTGCAATAGGTAACCTGTACATGTGTCTGATATGTGGAATAGATTTCCAGGAGTAGGATTCCTGAGTAAATAGATCAAATTTCCCCATCATCGAGAAGTACCATTTTGCATTCTAACCAACAATGTATGAGGATGTCTGCTTTCTCACAGCCTCTCTCTGTTCCCAACAGAGAACAGTGTCAAACTTTTGGATTTTTGCTAATCTGATAGGTGAGAAATTACATTGATTATATTAGATTTTTCATTTGCATTTAACTTGTTGCCAGTGAAATTGAGTATCTTTTCATATATTTAAGCACCATTTGCATTTTTGTCTTCAGTTTCATATGCTTGGAAGATTTTTCCTACTGACTTTTAGGCATGTTTTTTCTACTTTTACAAGCTCCTTATTAGGGAGATTAGGGTACTGAAAATATTCTAACACTTTTTCTTTAGCTTTGTGGTTTTGAAATTATTTTAAAGAACTAATTACTATTTAAATCATTTATTTAATAGATGAATGTATTTTATTCTACTCTAATCCAGCTGTTGAGGATAAAAAATTTTAAAGGGGCTTTCTTTGAAAAGTAGCCAGGTCAGAGGCAGAGCTCAAAATCGAATCTGGAGTAAGGTATGATAATATCTGACGTTTGAGTACCCGTTGATAGTTTACAAACCACTTCTACCCTTATCTTTTAAGGTTGTATTAGGATGGTTTGGCTGTAGTGAAGGAAAACTGAATATAACAAAAATTTATTTGCCCTATAAAAGTCTAGATGAGTGGTCCAGGGCAGAAACAGAAGCTTTTTATGTAGCCCTAACCTCATCGCCCAAGATAGTGAAATCTATGGTCCAGACAGAAAGGTGGAGAGGCAGCAAAGAGGACAAAGGCATACTTTTAATATTTCTTAAGAACAGCTCCAGCTGCTAGGAGACCCTCCCACATACATCCCATTATTGATAACTTCATCACATGGCCATATCTGGTTGCATAAGAGGCTAGGGTTATTCCAGTTTGACTTGTGCCCAGATAAAAATGGGGAGTGGGTCAATTACAAATGAAGGAGAATGGATATTGGTGTTCTACCAGAAACCTCTGCTAAAAAAATAAATAGAGAAAGTATCATTATACTCACTATAAAATAATAATTTTTAAAAAGCCAGGCATAGTGGCTCATGCCTGTAATCCCAGAACTTTGGGAGGCCAAGGTGGGTGGATCACCTGAGGTCAGGAGGTCGAGACCACCCTGGCCAACATGGTGAAACCCTGTCTCTACTAAAAATACAAAAATTAGCCAGGCGTAGTGGCAGGTACCTGTAATCCCAGCTACTCAAGAGACTGAGGCAGAAGAATTGCTTGAACTCAGGAGGCAGAGATTGGCTGTGAGCTGAGACCATGTCAATGCACTCCAGCCTGGGCAACAGAGTGCGATTTTGTCTCAAAAAAGAAAAAAAAGGTACAATTATTTTTCTATTCAAGGTGTTTGATTAAGCACATATCCTCCCTCCTGACACCTCACAAAAAAAGAATAGTAAAGGGGAAAAAAGCATAAACTCATAACAGCAAAGAACAAGGAGAGGGGCTTCCATCAGTGGATAAATATTTTAGCAAATTTCCGGCAGCCAAAAAGAGCATGCAAGAAATCTGAAGTTCATGGAATAGGATGAAGTCAATCTGCCTAGCAGAACCCAGGAGAGGTTCCAGGCTTGAGTTGGCAGATAAGGCAGAGAAGAACAAAAACTGGAACTAAAAAAGGGAGACATTAAAGATCTGTATATGAAACAATTGCTTCTCATTTCACCCCCACACACAGAATACATGACAGCCAGGAAATTACCACCATTAAAAAATAAAAATAAAAATATTCATCTATCTCCAAATAAATTACACCAGTGGTAATTTCTTTAGAGAAATCACTGAGAAAAGCTGAGAAATTTCTGAGAACTGAGAAAGCTGGTATGGCTATTGGTACCACAGATAAGGTTAATAATAACTGAAAATGTCACTCTGAAAAAATAGAAATAGTTCAAGAACAGAAGAGAACTTTTAAAAAAAATCATCAATAACTTCCGAGTAAAGTGACCATGCAATTTGTCATCCTCCCTGAGACAATTTGGAGAATAACAATGCACTATTAATAACTATGCCAGGAAAATAAATATAAACCATGATGTCTCCTATGAACCAAGATATATAGATTCAAATCAGTATTGAATCCATAAACGAGGATAGGATGCTAAGAAAAAGAAAACTCAGAGAAAACTTTACAATTCACACCACAAAAATGCAAAGGAGCATAAGAGACTACTCTGAATAATTATCTGCCAACAAATTAGATAAACTAGAAGAAATGGATAAATTCCTGGGCACATACAACTTACCAAGACTGAATCATGAAAAAATAGAAAATATGAACAGCCCAATAATGAGAAAGGATATTGAACCAGTAATAAAAAGACTTCTATCACAGAAAAGCCCAGGACCTGATGGTTTCACTATTAATTCCACCAAACATTTAAAGAACTAATACCAATCCTTCTCAAACTCTTCCAAAAAAATGAGGGAAAGTGAATATTTATAAACACATTTTATAAAGCCAGCATTGCCCTGATACCAAAGTCAGAACACTACAAGAGAAGAAAATCACAGGATAATAACTTTAATGAAAATAGATACAAAAATCCCAACAAAATTCTAGCAAACCAAATTCAACAGCACATTAAAAAGATCACTTACCATAATCAAGTGGAATTTATACCTCAGATGCAAGGATGTTTCAATATACACAAATTAATAAATGTGATACACCACTTCAACAGAATGAAAGACAAAAACCATATGACCATCTCAAAAGACAGAAAAAAGTCCTTGAGAAAATTAAACATCCTTTCATAATAAGACCTTCAACAAATTAGGTGCCGAAGAAATGTACTTCAACACAATAAAGGCCATCTACAACAAACCTATTAACAATATGCACAATGGAAAAAGACAAAAGCCATCCTCTAAGGTCCGGAAGAGAACAAGGATGCCTGCTCTTGCCACTACTAATCAACTTCGTATTGGAAGTTCTAACCAGAGCAATCTGGCAAAAGAAAGAAATAAAAGCAAGCAAATTTGAAAGAAATAAGTTAAATGGTCTCTGTAACAACATGAGCTTTAGAAAAACCTAAAGACTCCACAAGGAAACCTCTTAGAACTAATAAGCATATTCAGAAAAGCAGTAAAAGTAATCTGTTCAAAATCAACATACAAAAATCAGTGGTTTCAATTAGAAATGAAGGAGAGAAAAATAAAATTAAGTTAAAAATAAACCAGTTATGCTTTTATACATTAACAACAAACTGTACAAAAAAGAAATCAAGAAAACAATCCTACAATAGCTACAGATAAAAATGCTTAGGAATAAATTTAACCAAGAAGGTGGAAGATCTAACACTGAAAATGATGAAGCATTGTTGAAAGAAATTAAAGGAAACACAAATAAGTAGAAAAATATCCTGTGTTCATGCTTTGGAAGAATTAATCTCATTAAATATTTATACTGCCCAAAGTGATCTACAGATTCAGTGCAATACCTATCATAATTCTAACAACATTTTTCATAGGAATAGAAAAAAATCCTAGAATTCATATGGAAACACACACAAAAAATATCCAAAAAAAATCTTGAGCAAAAAGTAAACTGAATATATCACACTACTTCATTTCAAAATATACCATGAAGCTATAGTAGTCAAAAAAGCATGATATTGGCATACGTACATATAGAGCACCATAACAGAATGAA